CAAGGGTGTGATTGATTGCTGATGGGCTGATCTCAATCTCTAGTCCTTCACAGGTTGACTGGTACTGCATGACTCAAAGCGCCTACTGCAAATTGCACTGTTGGTCCTTCTGGCATAACCAGCCCATGCCCTAAATCATAGCGGTGACTCAAGGCTCCGAGGCAAGCAAAGATACTCCTGTTAGACATGACACTCCTAGGTCTTAGAGACCGCCTCCCCGCAGCTGAGGACGAAGGCCAGAGCTCTTTTGGAGCAAGGTTAAGTTCTTTACTACACAAACTGGCAACCGTACCCACACCCAGGCACCAGGAGGTCGGTGCTCCTGCCACCAACACAACTGCCTTCTGGAAGTTAGACGCACGGCCCTGGAGCCCTGCGGCAGGAAAATCCCACGGCTCTGTGACGCTATTGACACCTCATTCTGCCCTTCAAATCTTCCTTGAGGAATCTAATGGATGGGACTTAATTTGCATCCAGAGCCTTAAGCACTAGGGTGCCTGGGAAGCGCAGGCTTTAGCTCGGCAGCCTTTGCAATAGGAAGGAAGAGTAGGAGGGGGTAGAAGTGTGTGCCAAGTGTCTGTAGACCAGATCTGCCAGTCCTCTCGACAAGTGGGCAGAAAGCGACCCACCCACAGACAGCGCACATCCGCCTCAGCTCAGGGAGTCTCACCAGCACACTGTGAAACAATCCAGTCATTCTTGGAGGTGCACACATTCCATCTCCCCGTACCATTAATTTCTCAACACTTGGGGAAGACAAATAACGATGGCATCTTGAGAACGGGCTCCGGAGATATAAACACAGGAAATGATGAATGAATGGCTGTGCGCTGCATGGAGAGCGGCTAAATGTTTGGTCTTCTGTGTCAGTCAAAACCTGGGCTTGCACCCAAACGGTATCTATCGCTCACTAGCTGTGTGACCTTGAGCTAGATACTAAGCTTCTCTGAGCTTTAGTTTTCTTATCTCTGCAGTGGGGAGGGTGTAATATCAAACTTTCAGTGTTATTGTGAAGATTTCTTGAAATGCTGTTTATAACCCTTAGCATGGTTCCTGGAAAATGCTTAATAAAACTTAAAAAAATACAAGGTGCCATCACCGTCATCACCGATGTCATCATTATCAGGATGAAGAAAAGGAGAAGGAGGAAACAGTTTCCTAGAACTTTAAAACCCCAATCACTCACTTCTGACCTCAGGATAATCTGTAATTGTCAATTATGATGTCATTAAATCTAAAAGAGCCTATTGCTGAGAATGTGGGAGCCACTAGATTAGATCAGGAGTAAGTGGGTCAGAGTTACTTTCTCTCTGAAGGCTGGCAGAACAACTTGGTCTTTTTCCTGCATCCTCACTGCACAGTCTGTGCCTACAGCTCGCTCTTCTCGCACGACCTTTTCCAACATCAGCAGCTGTGATTGATATTGGGGTGACATGGAGTCAGATGGCTCTGTTAGTCACTTCAGTGTGACCTTGAGCAAGTCAGTTCAGTTCTCTGGGGCTTTGTCTCCTCATCTGGACAATGAGCTTCTCAGGGTTACATGAAATGGTTTTCCCAGCACATAGTAAGTGCTCACAAAAATCATAGTGATAGAATCAATGGACACATCTGCCTCTCCCATTGGTTTATAAATCTGTTAAGGACCCTGTGACTGGCACATGGTAGATGCTCAACAGTCCTTTCTGAAATGAAAATAAGGGCTCTGGGCACCTGGGATGAGATGAGGCTTCAAAAGGGGGTGGAGGAGTAGAAACCAAAGGCAGGGTCCTCAGAAGACCTCTGAATACATTCTGCTCCTCATCCCTCTCACTTTTCCCTCTTCCCAAGAAGTAATATTCCTTGGGCTGTTGTTGAGTTGCCGATACTGCGTAATGACACCCTAGCAGCTTTGTTCGTGGTAAATCTAAGTTCTTCTCATACATTAGCTCATCTACCTCCCAGCAGCCTGGGGAGTGGAGAACTGGTCTGGCCGGAATGAGTGTTCCCATTCTACAGATGAAAGCATCAAGGCCAAGGACTCGTGAACTGACTCACGCTGCAGCCAGCGCCAGCTGGGTAGCCTGCCAGGGCAGTGTTGTTTGCTAGTGACAATCATGTCTGCTTGAGCCTCACAGACTGAGTTTCTGCCCCGGTCCCGCTATACCAGCCTCTTCACCCTGTCCCAACTTCCCTGTGTTATTGTGACTTTTCTGTGCCTTTGTGTAGGGTTACTGGGGTTGGAGGGGCTTCTGGAAATAAAAATGGCAAATCAATACAGATCCCATGTATGGATTTTTAACTGGTCTGCTCTTGCTGGGTGGCTGGAACCTTTTATTCCACGAGTTGAACCCACTCATGGGCCACCCTCTTTTATCCATGATGACCCATTAGCCAGGAAACCCATGACCTGACTACGACAGTATTTACAACTCTCGCTCACAGCACTGAAGTGATTTCTTTATAAGTCCCCTCAGGAATCAAAGTTGTGCATGAAGGGCAGTCAAAACAATATTTAGAAGTAGATTCAGGGGGCCTAGAATCATTTCAAGGCCCCCTGAATCTACTTCTAAATATTCTTTTGAGATTTCTTTGAGATTTTTTTTTCTTTTTAAGAATTAAGATATTCTATGTGGAAAAGCACAGTACCTGGCACATAACAGGGCCTCCTGGGACATTAGGTAACCAGAATCCCAGAGTCCACAGTGGTGAGCCCCATCTCTGGCTCACAGTAGGTGCTCAGTAAACATTTGTTTGGACTGTGATATTTTTGAAGATACGGCAGGACTATATTCATGAACCTGTACTTCCTAGTTTAATTTTTAACTTCTAAAGCCCAGCCACAGCGAATCTCCACTGATCAACCTTCTGCACAACACCTATCAACTCATTAAAATTCATTGAGGATCTCTTATGTCCCAGAGTTGTATTCTCACCTATGGCACTTCAGACATGCTGTCTCCATGACGGCAGCTTGCACTGGTGTCGTGCCATAGTGTCCTGCTATGCTCTGCACGGGTAAGACACTGCAGCATGTGTGGGTGGTATTGGAGACGCTGGCACCTGCCTTGGAACAGAGGTGCGTTTAAGCAGCGTTTAACAGTAAGCCATCCGACTGAGGGTGAGGGAGCCATGAACCCTGGCATGAGTACATTCCGTTCTCACCTTGGAATGCTTCATGCACTGCCGCTGATTTAACTGTGCTTTAAGGTCAGCCCCTTGTCAGCCGAGTGCGAAAGCAGAGAGTTTTCTCCATGTGTATGGTGAGCTTAAGGAAACGTGGTCACAATGTGATGGATAAGTTCTGTTCCAAGGCTTCTCAGCATGAGTGTGGGCATGTGAATGTGTGTATGCACGCATGTGTGTAGAATGTCTTTCTCTCATTTGGATTCTGATCGCAGAGTCTGGCTGGGGAATTCCACACCCGTTAGATGTGTGAGTCTTGAGGCCTCTCTGGCGACAAATGTTCATCATGTGCTCACCTTGTGCGTGTGTTTCCGTCAGGGTCTCAACAGGAAGCAGATGACACATTTGAAAGAGGATAACTTGAGGAGGGTTTATGAGCAATGAGACTATTATCGAAGGTGTGGGGGTGGAAACTACAGGAATGGAAGAGGAACTTGAGTCTCAGCAGCAGCGGTGGTTTCTCGGTTGAAGATCTGCGACACAGGGGGAGGAAGGGGCTGCCACCGCAAGCTGGAGTGGGAGCCAGGGAGCAGAGGCCTTCAGCTGAGGGACCCAGCCAGCTGGAGGTGACCTTGCCAAAGAGGATCCGGGAAACACTTACCCTCGGCAACCTTTGTCTTTCTGTGCGATCTTCTGAGGACGGGGGTTCCCTGCTGGCAGAGGGTGGGGCAGGCTGGTGAGGGTGTCAGGAGGGGCAGATGAAAGTCATTGCGCACAATGCTGCGTTGTCCAATGGACAGAGTGACTCAGGTTTTGTGGGGACTAAAGCTCACACAATTTTAGAGGCCTTCTTTAGGAAAATCATACAAAAATATCCCAGGAGACAAATACAAAAACGAAAAACAAACAAACCCCAAACGATGTAACATCACTGTTAAGGGCCTTCCTAGGGCTTTGGAAGGGACCTGTACAAGTAAGCCTTTCCTGCAGATCTCCCTGTGCCTGTGGCTTTGGGGACTTTGACTTAGAATGGTGCTCCAGTCCACAATAAGCTTATAGGCTCATGCGTGATGGAGGCTTAGGTAACAGATTGTAAGTACGACTCAAACTGCAACATAAGAGAATTACAGATAAAATATTAGAGGTTAAGTGGACACTGAAAGAGGCTTTGAAAGACAGGTAGGATTTAGACACATAGCAATGGGTGGGCGGAATATACATAATACTATCTATTGTTGGTCCTCTACTATGTATGAAACACTGTCTATAGATTATTTTATTGAATGCTGACAGAAACAGGAAACCGAGACTCCAAGGGGTTAAAACTTAGGTCCCAAAGTTACAATGTGGAAGAGCTAGGACTTGAACTAGTGGCTGGGCTGTTTGCTCCCAGAGGGAGGCCCTTGTACACTGTGGCACAAGCATTCCAGGGCGGTGCACCAGACTTGGGAAAACGCAAGTTCAAGTTAAGGAGGCAGGGGAGACACTCAGCCAATGGGAACATAGGACTATTTTTACATCCTACCCGTTGTCAACACTTAGTTAATAAGTCAAGGCGCTGCGAACATTGGCAATAATTATTTTGCTGGTTACGACCTTGAGGCGTACAGTCTCTGAGCAGGACCGACTCAGAGCCTGCAAGCCACATTTCCTAGGGAGAGAGGGACTGGGATCCGATTTGGTCTGCGAAAGACTCCATTTCCCAGCATGCAGTGGGAGCGCGGGTCCTTGCCTCCCGGCATTCCGGGGGAGGTAGCAGAGCCAGAGCAGGCTCCGCCCCGCTCTGCGGCGTTCTCGCTCGCCCCGCCTCCCCCAATCCCCGCCGAGCCAATGGGAAGGCCCCATACTGCAGAGTCTGAGAAGGCCGGCGCCGCAGCGGAGTTGCGAGTTGGCGAGAGCGGCGGGAAGTTCGTACTGGGAAGAAGGCGTCGGTTCTGCGGCTCGGGGTAGGGAGGCTGCGGACGGCGCGGTCCGAGAGCGCGGTCGCCGAGCCGGGGCCATGCAGGGAGCTGCCGGGGGCCGAGCCCGCTCGGGGCGGCGAAGCGGCCGTGACCTCGGGCAGTCCCGGAGGCTGCGGGCGGCCCGGCGCGGGCGTCCTCCGCAGCCTGCTCTCGCTCAGGCCCCGCGGCGACCCCGGGCTGCCCGAACGAGCCTGGCCGGCGCCCAGGCTGGCGCCCAGGCTTAGTGGCGCGTTCTGGACGGTGTGTTGGCGTGGTCTGTCCTGGGCGGTCGCGGCCCGGTCTGAGAGATGGCGCCTGTGCCAACCTGGACTGACGAGGTTCCGCTGCTGTCACGGAACTGATGTGCTGGAGGGTAGACAAAATAGACGCAAATACGATCACTTGCAGGTCCCCAAAAGCTCCTTTAAAATGAGGACAGGCGATTGGGGGCCCGGGTGATGGGGGCGAGGTGGGGGCATCTTGGAGCAGGTGACGTTTGACTTGAGACCTGAGAGGGGAGAAGGAACCGGTCCCGCGAGGGTAGCTTCCAGGACCGCCCCGTGCCTACCTGCCCCCGCCCGGAAAGGGCTTGCCCTTGAGGGCCTGGCGCCAGGCGGCAGAGCCCCGAGGGTGTTTACGAGGGAGCACTTTGCTGTCTGTCCTCTGACCGTTCCTCTTCTGGTCTTCTCTGTCCGTATCCGGCAGGGCGGCACCCTTTACGGATGCACCTGTCATCAAGGGCAACGAATAGTTTTTCCCGCCGTCTTGAGAGTTTTTGGGCCCTGGTTTCATACTCTTAGGTGATTTATTTCACTTCAGCAGACAGCACCAGAGTCTTTTGGGAGGCAGGCGGACAGACTAGGTTCCTGTTGAGGCCACCCATTTTTCTAACTTCTCTGTCAAGACAGCCATTTTTCGTCTTCCTAGCGACTATTCCTTTCCCTCCCCATCTCCCTTTTTCGGAAGAACTTGGAAAGAGCAGTGTTGCTGTTGGGAGGGTGGCGCTTTTAGGGAACTGTTTTCGTTGTTTTCCTTTCTCCTTTTAAAACTGGAATTGCCCATCTGTTGAGCCTGAAATTTGCGGGAGTAAAAAAAAAAAAGAAAAGAAAATGGAGAGAGGCATTTATTTTTAAGAGTTTAGAGTTAAGACACCTTACTTTTTATGACATTCGGAGCATGATACTTTTGGGGAGAATTTAATCTATAATTTTAGAGGGAAGCAAGGGTTCTTTATATAATCACTTTATTCAGGTTATGCTTGTGCCTGTTCAAAATGGCAGGTAGTAATTGGAGTTAAATTTCTGGGTAGATAAGGTTATGTTCAGCTGCCACCTCGAGAAGGCAATGAAACTTAAGTCGTCAGCAATGGCTCTGTCTGCAGAAGCTATCACATGGTACTTCCTGTGCATCTCAGCATTGCTGACCACATTCTGGGCTAATGCAGTAAAACAGCTTGAGTTTGATAACAGTAAACTCGTGTGAAGCATTACTGTCGAATTAGTACTAGTATGTAGTACAAATGGTATCCAGTTTATAGTGTGATGGCTTCCTATGTTCAGTGCTGCAAAAATGATGAGAGGATATTTGTTAAACAAATGAGGTAATGGCATAATGTGTCAAGTACAGAACCTGACATGTAGCAAGGTAGTGAGTGCCCAGGAAATGGGGATAGGACAAGCTTGTCCTAAGTTTTATTCCAGGATGCAAGTGTATAGTTTAAAAATAACAGTAATGCATCCAAAATGTTGACAGCTCCTACCGTTAAATTTTTCAAATAGGCTAGCTTTTTCTTTTTTATTTAAGAACTAATGTGAAATAATGATAAATAAATAAGTGAATGTCCCAGATGTTTAAAAGAGGAAAAAACAATGTTTTTTTTGTTTTTTATTGTTTATGTTTATTTTTTATGTTTATTTTGACAACTGTATTTTTTCCTTAAAGCCATTCCTATTTAAGATACAATTTGCTATGAATAGAGTTTTGATTTGAAGGTAAAAGTTACTGAAAAAGAAGCAAAACTTTAGAGTTTACCTTGTATCAAATGAAGGATGATGTCTGAATTTATACAAATGTGCAAATGGTGATCTCTATATATCAGACAGTGCAACTTAATGGAAATTAAATCCTGCCTCTTTGTGTATGGATGTGGGTGAAGCTTTCAGGAAAATTGGTCTTGATGGATTCTGAGAATGGGCTGGTAACCGAATAGGACTGGAGAATATTTTTCAGACTGGTTGGACATTTGACTTGCTTGCTGAGGTTATTTTTCAGAAGGAGTGGAAATGGGCTCATTCAGTCACCAGGTATCACATGCCTACTGTGTGTCAGGAACTGCGAGGTGCAGTCTCTTCTTGCTATTTTAGTGTTTTGTTGAAGCAATTTTTCTTTATTTTAAATTAACAGAGGTCGTTCTTTTTGACTTTAGTTGTCTAGCATCCAGCATGCGAGAAGGTAATAAACGTGTAGGACACATTTGAAAAACTGTACTACTATTGATAAAAGAGAGCAAATAAGGAATTTTTGATGAGGATGTCAGATTAATTTAGAAAGGTAACAGAATCCTGACAAAGCACTCAGCTAGGTGGTATAACCAAGATGTGTTTGCATTCAAGGATGTATTTGGCTCTTTTGATCGAAACTCCACTTACTGGCCATTAGAAAGGTGCGTAGAAGGTTGTGTCCTTTATGCCCCCTACCCCAGACTCCAGGATGATATTCAAGTACCTAGCGTTCTGAGGTTGCTGTTTTGTGATGTCTTCTTTATTTTTTAAAAAAGGTTTTATTTATTTTTAGAGAGAGGGGAAGGGAGGGAGAAAGAGAGGGAGAGAAACATCCATGCAAGAGAGAAACATCGGTTGAACCCTCAACCCAGGCACGGTGCCTGACTGGGAATGAACTGAGGACCCGAGGACCTTTCACTTTGTGGGACGACGCCCCCAACTGAGCCGCACTGGGTAGGGCTGCGGTGGCTGTTTTGAAGTCACGTTCATTATTCTGGTTCTGGATGAGGTATGGGTAACACTTTAAAAAAATAAAAAAGCTCTCTGGAGAGATATGAGGTATGCCTTTCCCCCTAATAGGAATTAGATTTTTAATATTCACCAATAAATACTAATGACAAGAAACTAATAATATTCTTCAGTAAACTTATTAAGAATTTTATTAGCCACAGCATCAACTTTGTCAGCAGGGAAAAATACATTGTGAATCATATTATTTGTTTAGTCTTCATGTAGGTTCAGGGATTTTCATGATTCTTTGCAGTAACTCCATGGGTCTCTGGCCCATAGGAAGGGAACCAGCACTCTAGGATTTGAAATGATAGACACTGCTCACACTGGCTGATATTTAGGATGAATATTAAACACACACTGAAATGTTTATCAGTAAGTCATGTAAGGGGGAAGATATACTAGAAGGAAGTCATATAATTAAATTGCAGGGTTATTACTTTGAGATTTGGGAGTGTTCTGTTATATACTCCCCTCACCCCCCGCTGAAATTTAGGATTTCCTTAAATCACAGATGCAGGCAACAGACCACAGTAGAATTAGCAATACCTATGACTTGGTCACCAGTAGAAACCACAGATATGTTTTATATCATTTTACCATTATTGTAGGTATCTTGAAATATGGTTTATTTACCAGTTATCATATACTTCTTAAGCAAATGCCTACTTTATTGGAAGGACATACTTATCGTGTGGAGCTCAGTATCTGGAACAATGTAGTTGGTTCCACAAGGGACTAAATGAGAACTGGAAAGTCATTAGGAACAAGGAATGCACCATCCTACTCTGTTGGGGGCTTTATAATTTCTTCCTGTGCATTTATTTAATATTCTTTGCAGACTGGCAGTCTTGCTGCTGTTTTCATGTGGGGCAGATAGGTTTGCTCTAGACCTAGCTCCTAGTTTCAAGAACCCAAAAGAGACTATTATGTGTCTAAATGTCTAAGATAACTACAGCTTTATTTCATGTTAATTACTTTTCTCATTATTTTTCCAAGTAACAGCTGATCAGATATCATTGTTTGATGGTACTGTGTTTAAATGCTTTGTGACCACATTTCATAATGCTAAGTGTTACAGATGATTTTTGGTCTTCATAAACTGTTTGGAAGACATAGAAATGGAAACTTCTACTCTTTTTAATGGCATTGTTTTTTTTTTGAGTTTTTATTGCTGTTTACTATATAATATGGCAACAGAGCCATCAACATACATATTATATCATAAATTCTTTGTGTAATAAAGAAATCTCTTATTTGTGAGTCAGGAAAAATGTTTTAAAAATTTATTTTTTAAAACTAAGATTAGGTGATAACATTTAAGGCAAATTTTTGTTGGTTTTTTTTTTCAGGCTTTTAGAAAATATTTTAGAAGTTGTGACTTTCAAATTTATATTACCTCTCATGTTGCTGGTAGGAATGTAAAATGGTATAGCCACTCTGGAAATTAGACTGACAGTTTCTTAAAAAGGGAAACGTATACTTCACATACAACCCAGCAGTGTACCCCTGGACATTCATTCTAGAGGAGTAAAAGCTTTTACTAACACCAGGGCCTATACATGATGTTCATAGAGGTTTTGTCTGTCATAGCCAGAAAGAAACAACCACACATGTGCTCCAGTGGGTGTGTGGTTCCGTAAAATGTGGAACAGCCAGGTAATGAAATACCACTCGTAACAAAAAGGAGCAAACTGGGGACACATGCGTCAGTTTAGATGGAGCTCGAAGGTCATGGTACTGAGTGAGAAAAGCCAATTTCAAAAGGTTGTGAGAGTGTATGATTCCGTGCATATAACATTCTTGAAATGACAAAATCATGGAGATGGAGAACAGGTTAGTTTTTGCCAGGTTAGGGCCTGCGGTGGTGTGTCACTATAAAAGGGTAGCACAAGGGAACTTCTTCCGGGTCATAGAGCAGTTCTGTACCCTAATTGTTGTGATGGTTACATGAATTTTTACACATGATAAGATGCCTTAGAACTACACAGACCG